CCTTAACAACGACGTTGACAACCTGGGATTAGCAACTGTTTAGTTCTGTTTAAAATATGTCTTGATTTTTGTGACGAATAGATTTCTCGCTTAAATTTCGTAAACATACGGAAAATCCTACCTGCCCGCGTTAATTGGACGCGCTACCTGTCACAGTTGGCCCAGGCACGCCCGCGTTAATTGGTCGCGCTACCTGGCGTTATAGATTTTGCAAGCTCATTATAAAATCCGCCAGATTGTTAGCCGAACAAAGTGACGTCATAGTTTTGGAAGCTCATTATAAAATCCGCCAGATTGTTAGCAGAACAAAGTGACGTCACTGATTTTGGAAGCTCATTATAAAATCCGCCAGATTGTTAGCCGAACCAAGTGACGTCATATATTTTGCAAGCTCATTATAAAATCCGCCAGAGGGGGGGGGGGCTTCACTACTATTGTAGTTCTATGAGTCATTGTTCAGGAACTAGGAAGTCACACCCACCCATGAATTATTATATAATGTATATGTATTGTATATGAGGTGTTATTATCATAGTGACATACCCTCCCCAAACTGGGAATGTGGCCATTCACAGGTATGTTTTAAAAACTGATTGCTCGATCTCGCGCGCTCTATCTCACGTGACTTCCTAGTTCCTGAACAATGACTTATAGAACTACAATCAAACTTGGACTTATGATAAGTCTCGTTTAATTTTTAAATTTTATCAGTATTTCATCCGATTCTTATCTTATTTATTATTATTGATTGATTGGTTCATGGCGTATGAGTATTCTTTACCTAACTTTCGTAAAACTCTGTCCATTATTCCAGTAAATATTTTGCGTACAAACAAACAAACCGACGGATAAAGGAACAAACAAAAAATATCTTCCTGGTGGACATAAGAATGAACAAATTACAAAAAGTTTAATAAAATAAAACCCAATTTTTTAGACTCATAACTCGTTGACTCATAACTCATAGACTCATAACTCAATGACTCATAACTCACAACTCATTGACTCATCGGACTCATTTGAACATTAATCTCGCAAAGAGAATGCAAAAAAAAATACTAAGTACAGACAGCACCAGCTTCAAGAGGAAAGAAAAAAAAGAGAAAAATATCTATATGACATGAACTATATATATCCACGTACTAGAACTAGAAGATACTGTCACAGAGTAATTACACACAAAGGTCTCACTTCAGTTTAATTGAGCTTAAGTGGATTTTTCAAGGGTCCTAAAGAGAGGCCATCACCACCTGAAAATATATTTAAATTTAATGTTCCAGGAGGGTGAATGCTTCTCTTTACCACAGATTAAAGATCAGTAACAGAAGGGCCATTCAGCAGTGCAATGTGTCCTCGTCTTTTTAAGCAAAAATATGCAGTATACTGGCCGGAAGGCGGAGCAGCCAGCCAGTACAGCGTATTTATTGGGCAGAAAATGTCATCGACTGGCTAGGAAAATGGCGGCCAACATGCGTAATGCGACATGCGCGAGGACAGAAACTTCAAAGCTTCCGACTTAAGTGGCCCTTTTATATGGATCTTTATTCTATGTTTTTACGGCACTTGCTAAGAACATGGCCTCCAGTACAAACTACCCAAACAACCTTACGGTTTTGTTGAGAAGTGAGATCTCTGTATGTAATTATTCTGTGATGCCGTACCCTTTTACTGTATATATTTTTTTGAATAATATTTGAATCATTTACTTTAATACGAATTACAGCCAAGTTTTACAAAACTTACCATATATATGCAGTAGTGTCTTGACAACCTTGCGATTCTTGGCGCAAGCCTTGCCTCGAAACATCGAGAAGTATCTTTCAGGCTGGTATGTTCCAAAGTCAAATGTTTTCTTATCAAACTCATGAATACTTAATGAAATGAAAGGCTTTGGTTCTTTGGGTGCTTTTTTTCTCGAGGATCTCGGTTGGGTTATATAACAGGAAATAATATTGTGAAGTATTTTGAAGTTTAAAACCTATTTTGCTTCTTTTACCTGGTCTGCTGGTGCGAAAACTCTGATGCTCTGTTTACAAGTGTTTAATGTAACTTTGATGACTTCCTTGCTGCTGCAGAAATCAAGGGATCTCAAGTCTATATGGCCTGGACAGTGAAAAGTGATGAATCATTCAGGATTTTAGAGAGAACTAGTGACAGCAAAAGTTTTCAATGGAAACTAGTTTGAAGAAACTGACTAATTTGTCTAGTATGCATAAAAAACCTTCACAGTATATATAGTTTTCTCCAAGAAACCTGATTGATTCATCATTGATATAAATAAAAAATAGATGGGACAGCATATACTTTCAGCTATTTCTTGGATTAGCCTTTTATTAATTGCTTTCCCTTACTAACTCATTAAGCATCAGCACTCTCCCTTTGACAAGTAAAATTATCGGTTGTTAGAGTAAAATAATAATGTAGGGTGCGACTCAATGGGTTACCTGGGCCCATGGGCAGATATGCCAGTTAACCCATTAAGCGCCAGCACTCTCCCCTTGATGAGTAAAATCATCTGCCGTTAGACAAAATAAAATAATAAAGTAGGGCACATCAAGGCACAATGCGACTTAATGGGTTAATATAGTTCTTTGGTGTAAGTTGTTTTTCGCACAATACTGAATATTTTGATGGCATCCAGTCTGCCCATTTCATTGCTGTTATCCAACTTTTTAGCCCGCTGGGATTGGTTATAGGAAATCTAAATAGTGTGAAGGGAAATATGTATTTTTGTTTCACTGATGTGAACAAAACTCAATTTTTTTTACCTTCAACAGGACAACGATCTCTATGAAAGTTGTTGTCAACATGCATATATATATATATATATATATATATATATATATATATATATATATATATATATATATATATATATATATATATATATATAGAAAAGGTTTCAATGTGCAACCAAAAGAGATATTTATAACGTAAAATAAAATAAAAGCCACTCAAATTTTCCACAAACGTTTTCGCTTTAATGTTAGCTCCTCAGGTGCATATTTACAATGTAAATATGCACCTGAGGAGCTAACATTGTAAAACATTGTAAATATGCACCTGAGGAGCTAACATTAAAGCGAAAACGTTTGTGGAAAATTTGAGTGGCTTTTATTTTATTTTACGTTATAAATATCTCTTTTGGTTGCACATTGAAACCTTTTCTATATACAACACTTGTATCTTGTTATCAGCAATATTTCACTATATATATATATATATATATATATATATATATATATATATATATATATATATATATATATATATATATATATATATATATATATATATATAGACATCAAAACAAGAAAGTTCTTTTCGGTCTAACGTTCTTTTATTAACAGTGTAATCAGTTTTATATTGTAGCCAACAAGCTCAAAAGTACATTTGTTGTCATTACTGTATTTACAAAAAAAATTGGGTTTTTTTGGCGGTAGTGTTCTTTATAACGGACAACTAAAGGTCTACTGGTTTCACCAACATAGCCTCGTCCACACAGATCGCAGTTAATTAAATAGACGACGTCTTTCTGCGAGCACTGCACTATTTAATTAACTGCGATCTGTGTGGACGAGGCTATGTTGGTGAAACCAGTAGACCTTTAGTCGTCCGTTATAAAGAACACTACCGCTCCGCAGCTAATCCCACAGCGCCATCATATAAGAACATGGCTTTTTCCAGAGACTATATCGAGTGCCACCCTGGACAGGAACCAAAGTTAACTGTGAAAATTCTGAAGAAAATAAGTGGCTCATTGGACCGAAAGATCACAGAAGCATTTTTCATCCAGAAGCTAAAACCAGATTTGAACAATAAATACGAACAGCTTAGCGTAGCAAATTTTCTAGTGTAAGGATTTATATACTATTTTCGGACACGCTCGTTAAAACGCTTAGTTCTAAATTATCTAATTGATATATTTAAATTCTCGGACAGGTCAATTACATGTTTACGCAAGCGCATACACCCGAGCAAATAACGGTCGCATGCTTTAACGGTTTTTTAGTGCGTATAAATGTAACCTGATGATGGAGTAAACTCCGAAACGTTGTTACAATATATTAAATTTGTTATAAAATAAAGCCTTCTGGTCGTTACTAAAAAGAAAATTATTACATTTAAATGAGGCTTAGAGAAAGTTTGCTTCTAATCACATTGAAAATGTAATATTCAAATTCAATTTTCCCCGAAGAATTTTACGGCAATTACTGACTTTAAACGAGTTGTTCTCCTACGGGTTTTAACGAATTTTTCTCAAATTTTCACAGGACATATAGCTACAGACGTTAGTTTCAGAATTGTGTTCGGCTTTTTTCTAACTTTGGATATTTTAATAATAACAAGCAATTCACTCAAACGATTCAGAAATATATTGCAGTCGTCAAAGAAATTGCAATATCAGCGGAATGACGAAATAAACAAAAATTGCCGAACATAATTTTTTAGAACAACTATTTAACTGTACGTATAAAAATTACATTTTCATAAATATATATCTTCAAACCAGCAGGAACATAACTCAAAAGCGTAAAGGTACGGCGATTTAAGATTTTCCTGAATAATTCTTATATTATGCTTGTGATGTTACTCTGAGTGTATATCCACACGGGGCAGGCTTGACAAATATGCCTGGCCACGGTGAGAATCGAACCTACGACCTTTGGAATACTAGCCCAATGCTCTGCCAATTGAGCTACGCGGTCAGGTCGGTTCGAGTACATGATATTTCGGAACCTAATCTAGTTCCTTCGATATCAATGTAATCTAAATCATGAGTTTTTCTGTGTTGCTGTAAGTTACCCAGGTGAATATGATGCTTGTGATGTTACTCTTATATGATGCTTGTGATGTTACTATTCCAAAGGTCGTAGGTTCGATTCCCACCGTGGCCAGGCATATTTTTCAAGCCTGTCCGGTGTGGATATACACTCAGAGTAACATCACAAGCATCATATTCACCTGAGTACTAATGTACTCAGGTGAATATGATGCTTGTGATGTTACTCTGAGTGTATATCCACACCGGACAGGCTTGAAAAATATGCCTGGCCACGGTGGGAATCGAACCTACGACCTTTGGAATAGTAACATCACAAGCATCATATAAGAGTAACATCACAAGCATCATATTCACCTGGGTAACTTACAGCAACACAGAAAAACTCATGATTTAGATTACATTGATATCGAAGGAACTAGATTAGGTTCCGAAATATCATGTACTCGAACCGACCTGACCGCGTAGCTCAGTTGGCAGAGCATTGGGCTAGTATTCCAAAGGTCGTAGGTTCGGATCCCACCGTGGCCATTCCAGGCATATTTTTCTAGCCTACCCGGTGTGGATATACACTCAGAGTAACATCACAAGCATCATATTCACCTGAGTACATTACACCAACACAGAAAAAATTCTTATATTATTTAATTGTTTGTCAATTTTACAACTTTACCATATTTTGCATGCACTGGAGAACATTTGGTGAAAATTTGATGAAAATCGGACTGATATTAAGCGCGTATTAGCGATTTTCCGCAAAAATCCAAAAACCGTGTCCTGTAACCTTAACACACTCTGCGTACTAATGTTGGGTTGTCAATATAAAAACCAAGGCACTCTCGATCGCTACATATTTGTTTGAATCTCATGTCTGCACGTAAGAAACTTGTAATTGACTGGAAGACAGTAAACGATGCATTTTCAAAACCGAGATGACTTCATGTGGTCCAGGGTAGCAATGGTTTGAATCATTGTGCAATAATTAGCTGCGATCATCCAGGATTCGCAAGCCGAAGAGGCTGTCGTAAGCATGTTAAACGATATATGCCTTGTATTATTATTTCGACGAGAAGCCAAATCTTGCCGTCGATACTTTGGTCATTTCTGCTGCCCCAAATGTTGCGAACGGAAAAGGTTCAAACGTCCCGAGTTGTTCGACAGAGAACGACTTCGCACGTTCGATCTCGCAGTTGCTACAAAGCAGTTGTGAGGTGTGGTTGGGGTGGGGGGAATCCGAAATTTCAGTTTCGTGAGCCTTGAAGTTTGTAAAATTTTGCTGCGACCAGAGTGCCGAGGCGGAAGATGACGTGCTCTCCTCTTCCAAAGTCATCGACTACATCTTGGGATGCCCCCAGCTTTTGACAAATTTTCTGGACACAAAAAGGGGTATTGGACAATCTGGACGTATTGCTTACGTGACAAGCATATCGGACTTACTGGACTTCGATTAACCGTCCTCATCTGTGCTTCAAAAATTTGCTTAAACAGAGGTTTACAATATTTGAATACTATAGAGCACGAAAGTGTTTGGCGAAGGACATGAGATCAAATTGGACAACCGATTTAGACATAGAAACGCTGGAATCGCAACGAAGTTGGGCAACCCTTTCTGAAGTACAATCCGTGATTCTGATTCCAATTCACAAGGAACGTTACCAATCTGTTTTAGAAATGTACATGGAAAATACTGATTCAGTAAAGCCTTGGAACGTAACGTTTGCCTCTTGGTTCATCGCAGCATACCTGTTTCTCAAAGTGAAAGGTTGTCAGCCTATGACGTACCAGCATCTAACTCTTCGTATGTTTAGAAGTGCAAGAAAAATGAAGGAATGGTAGATCAGAAAATTTTCAAGACGGCTAAAAGATACGGTTTCGATAGCGTCTACTTCGTCGAGGTTAACATAAAATTTTTAGAACAATATATTAACTATGTCAGACTCCTTTTAAATCCTATTTGCAAGTATATTTTAGTCAATCTTAATGGGAAACAATTTCAGAAACTTACAGACCATTTGAGCGTGTTAAGGCGGATTTCCAGTCCTCGCACGAAGCTCCTCGCAGCTCGCTGCGTTGAATCTAATTAAAATTAACAGTTCAGCATTGTGATTGAATAAAAGTGCTCATACATGCACTCGCAGCGAGCTGCGAGGAGCTTCGTGCGAGGACTGAACATCCGCCTTTAGTCTTCGAAGCCATCGGAAAGTACATCCACCGTACTAGGTACGAACAGATAATTGAAACCGAAAGCTGCGTGGCACTGCTACCAAATGAGCAAAAGTGGATATCAGAAGACCAAAAACACAGCTCGAATGTTGTCCGTGTTCGCTATAAAAAAAAACGCTCTCGCCAAGTAGCAATCCGAGGACGCTGATAGATGATGCATGAGAAAATTAGTCGAGACAGAACGTAGGATAGTGAATAACGCCTTGAATAACAACGTGGAAAATCATAGCGATGTAACTAACTGTTTTCATGGACCGGTTCCAGAAAACGACAACGCCACAGATATTGCGACTAGTTCGAGAGAGAAAGCGTTTCAGCGCCGTGCTGGTATCCGATTCACAACCGAAAGGATGAGTACATTAAAATTGGCATGAACAAATTTGGCCGACGTTGTTTCAAGATGCTGCGTCATCCGAACTTTACTTTTAATCCCTGTTGAGTTCCAAACACTTTGCGAAAAAGGGAAGAAGCGTTAAAGTTAGTGCGATTTGCAAGAGTTTATGAAAACCAATGCTTTGCATGAGTTCATGAAAACATTGCGATAGAATATAGTTGTGTAAATAAACGAATAAAATACACTTTCCCGTTTTTGCGTTTCATCAATTTTTACTGTAGTACAATAGTTCAAACCAATCCCGGACCCGATAGTTGGCTTAACTTTTCGTATTAGAACGTTAAAAATTTAAAGTCAAAATATCGTGACTCTACCACAAATTGCGTCCTGAATAAGTTATCCTGTCTACAAGATGTTGTTTATGGCAACAGTATTGATGTTATTGCTTTGACAGAGACTTGACTGTCCAATCATGTACGAAATGATGAAATTTAACCGGTTGGATACAAGTTATTTAGGCGTGATGGACCAACGGGCAAACGGGGAGGTGGTGCATTGTTAGCTGTGAAATATTCTGTCAGAACTGAGCCAGATTCATTGGAACTTGCTTCTGTTGTGATTAATTCGTCGTCTAAAAATGTTCTAGTCGCTGTGTGTTATCGCTCTCCTTATTCCTCAATTGATTTCCTGCACGAACAGAACCGTTTCTGGAAATTTGTTGCTGATTCTCAATTTAAAGATGTTGTTTTAATGAGCGACTTTAATTATCCCAATATTCAATGGTCTGGCAGATCGATACTTTCTACCATAGGATCAGCAATTGGTTTTATCGAACTTATCACTGATTTTAGTTACTTGCAATTAATCAACTCATCTACTCGTGGCCATAATCTCATTGACTCGGTTTTCAATACGAATGAACATTTGACTGACAACTTTGAAATTACTGATGATGATTCCATTTCTTTATACTCGGACAACAAAGCTATATCTTTTGACTTAAAATTGCATCAACGTCCAAAACAATCCACCGAGCGAATAGCTTATAATTATTCAAAGGGAGATTTTGTTGGCCTCCTAAACAGTCTTCAGAATGCTTCTTTAGTGGATTTAGTTCGCAATCACTGTGACAACATTAATGTTGCTTGGTGCAAGTGGACAGCTGCTTTCCTTGCTGCTTCCGATTGTTTTATTCCGAAAACCTCGCTCAAGCTTTCCTTCACGGCCTCCTTAATTTATTAATCACCAAGGATCTATTTCACGCCATCAACATGAAGGAGTCCCTAAGGAGAAAAACAAAGGCTAAGAACTCCCCTAAATTGTGGGAGAAATTTTGCAAGACTCGGCAATACGTCAAATGTTGGATTAATGCCAAGAAGAGAGAATACTTATCTGGAATTTCTCATCCTTATACAATAACTCTAAATCATTTTGGAGATTTTTGAAGTCTAAATCTTAAAAATCTTCCATATCTTATGTCATTAACATAGGGGGTCTTAAACTATTCTCTTCTGAAGAATAGGATGATGCTTTTATTACTTATTTTGCTTTAGTTTTGACCTCCGACTCAAATTCTTCTTTACCTTTAATTTCTCCTTCGCAGTCATCATCAAACTTCTTGACTCAATAACTGTTTCTGAATTTGAAGTTCTATCACTGTTTGTCACCTTCTAAGGCTACTCCGCCTGATGGCATACCAGCTTATCTGTTAAAGCGCAGTGCCGAAGTCATTGCTCCGTCTTTAACAGTTCTCTTCGAGTTATCTCTTCTGCAGGGTGCATTTCCTTCTCAATGGAAATATGTTAATGTCGTTCCAATACCTAAGAAAGGTGACGCTCATGAAGTCACCAACTACAGACCTGTTTCATTACTCTCCCGAGTCTCAAAAATACTTGAACGCTGTATTTTTGGACAGGTTTCTTCTTTCATTAAGGACTCTTTATACGACATTCAACATGGATTTCGCTGCAATAGGTCATGTGTTACTCAACTTTTGAATGTGTTTCATGATCTCGGTCGTGCTCTTGATTCTGGCAATGAAATTGATCTTCTTTATCTTGATTTTGCTAAAGCTTTTGACTCCGTATTTCACAGCAAACTCTTGTTTAAACTAAACTATTTTGGAATTTCCGGTCAACTTCTTAACTGGCTCGCTGATTAATTTCTTAATCGGAAACAGCGTGTCGTTATCGAAGGAGTTTCTTCGTCTCTCATTAACGTTAAATCTGGTGTGCCGCAAGGTAGTGTCATAGGTGCACTGCTTTTCATTTTGTATGTGAATGATCTTCCAAAGTTAACTAAGAATACGACTGTTGCACTTTTTGCTGACGACAGTAAATGTTACCGTGCAATTCAGTCACCAGCCGATCGACATCTCCTACAGACTGAACTTGACTCTATGCGCTAAAGACAACCGTTTGCTTGGTTTTCTTCCGAGAAATTGTTCTCAAATGACTAATACTCGCTGCCGGCGGCTTCTCTATCTCTCACTCGTACGACCTCGCCTTTCTTACGCTACAGAGATCTGGGAACCTCAAGCCTCGTCACGCGATCTTGCGATCCTGGAGGGTGTTTAGAAACGAGCTACTAAATTTGTATCTAAATTTAGTTATCTTGAGCGTCTTAGGAAACTTAATTTATTGCCTATATCTTACTGTCTTGAAATAAACAAGGTCTTCACGACCTAGATATCTCCTCTTTAGTCACCTTTCCTTCTAATCGTAATTATTTTGCACCCGTTCAAGCAAGGAGAACTTGCTTAAAGTCAATCCGTGCAAAACCTTTCTGTTTAGAAACTCTTTTTTTAAACGAATTTTCTTTCTATTGAACAATCTCTCTCCGATCATTCGTAACAGTTCGTCTGTTTTATTCTTTAAGCCCCAGCTCCATTCTCTCTAATCTTCTCGATTAGACACTTCTTTCGATGTTAACAGAATGCGCACTTGGAAAAGCTACCGCTCTAAATGCCGTTTGTTAAGCTGTTGCTCATAATCTAAACTATTAATTTTTATATAGCTATGTAAATAGTGTTCTAGATGTATGGATAAACTAAAGTATAATATAAGGATATTTTGGTTTTGGTAGATAAATAGTAGCGACATCTAAAGATTATGCCGGTGGATTCTGAGACCTTTATACAGATATAAGATATATGTGATTTCCAGAAAAGGTTTTCGTCAATAACAACTCCTAAAAATTTAATCATTTGTTTTTGTACTAGCTGGGTTTATCAAATATAATAGATATATTCTTATAATTTTTTATGTTTTTGCCTTTGAATAAGATATAATTCGTTTTGTTGGTGTTTAACGATAACTTATTAATCTTCATCCATAAGTAAATATATTCTACTTCTTCATTTATTAATCTAGCTACTTCATCTGGATCTTTGTGAGAGTAAAAAATACAGGTATCATCTGCAACTGATATATGAAGATTCGGTTAAATGCAAAACACGCGGGAGGTCATTGATATAAAGGATAAAGAAGAATGGTCCCAATATTTAGCCTTGAGGTACGCCAACATATGATTTCATTTTCGACGGAGAAAACATTGTATTGCACAAATTGGGTACGATTTTTAAAATAACTGTTGATCCATTCCAACGCTACCCCGCGGATGCCATGGCGCTCAAGTTTATGGTATTATATATCATGATTAATAGTATCGAAGGCTTTTGAGAGGTCCACGAAAAAAATTTTATTTATTAAATCAATTAGTGCAAGATTTGTTGAATGATTTTTACGGAAGCCTGACTGATTATGACACAAAATTTCAAAGCGTTCTGCAAATTCAAGTAATCGAGAATGCATAACTCTATCATAAAATTTGGAAAAATTTGTCTGGAGTGAAATGGACCTGTAATTTTGAAATATTTGTGAATCATATGCGTTAAAAATAGGGATTATTTTGGCCATTTTTAATTTATCTAGAAAAACCCCTGTCTCTAACGATATGTTATTCAAATGCATTAATTAAAGGATGAACGATGAATTCAAAAGAATGTTTAATAAGATGCATGGCATATTATCATAATCTGGAGCGTTCAAGGAAGTTGATTATAGGAACATTGTTTCACTGTTGGCGGTCCTAAACAGTCTCTAAAAGATGAGGTTACAGCGGGGATTTTATTTGCTAAAGATGGGCTTATGTTTGAAAAAGACTTACAAAACCCATTCGCGATTTCAGTAGGGTCAGTGACTAATCGACTTAGACAAAAGACTTAATAATTGTTTCTGTTTTTGCTTGTTGGTGACTTCATTTATTAGTTTCCAGGTTTCTTTCAGATTGATTTTGGGCAATTGAAATTTATCGTTATAATACATTTTCTTTGCAATTCTGATCAGGTGATATAGTTTGTTTTGATAGATTTTATATCGAGTTTCACGTATCAAAGTTGGATGTTTTAACAACTTCTTATATAATCTATTTTTTTCCTGACTGAAGCTAATAAACCTTTAGTTATCCACGGAGATTTTGTTTCTTTTGGGTTCTTGTGTTTTATTGTTTTAAGAGGAAAGCAGTCTTCAAAATGTCTACTATATTCTGAGACAAAAGTTTCAAGCATATCGTTGGGGTCCTGGTCAGTAAGAATACTTTACCAGTTAACTTGTGAAAGGCAAGAATGAAAATTGTTAAGATTCGTATCGTTATAATCACGCGTATTTGTTGTCAAAGTCTTAGTATACGAAAGTGTAAGTTTTTCTTCATGGGCGTACCGGGCGGGCAGGCGGGGGGGGGGGGCGGCAGACCCCCCAGTTTGTTGGGCAAACAAAGCCAGTGGGGCAATATTCGCTTACAAAAATAAATGGGACAATTTCTGTCAATATTGCGGGAAATTCTGTCAATTTTGTGGTCAATTTTTTTATGTCTGGAAAATTTGTATGAAGTTCCAAAAAATTTTGGTATGTCCTAAAAAATTTTGGACCCATAAAATTGTACACTGACCGAAATTGTTAATCAGAAAATATTTCAGCTCCGGTCGGGCACAATTCGAAAAAGTCGGACAAATTTCTTTCCGCCCCCCTAATTTTTTCCTTCCGGTACGCCCATGTTTTTCGTTCTTAAAAGGTGCAAAAATTGGTAGATATCATTAATGATTATCTCATTTGTAATATTCTGTTTGAGACAATTTGTGAATATTTTATCGTTAAGCGTGTAAGTCTAGTAATAAATGGAATGAACATGTAGAAAAACAAAGAATCTGGCACGAAAAGAAATGAGCACGTGTTCGTCATAACGTAGCAAGTCATGGTTAAAATCACCCATCAGATAACATTATCCTTAGAAATTGTTGAGAGAATTCTATTTAATTCATCCATAGAGGGATTAAGATTTTGGTTAGGTGGTCGGTAGACTGTACCTACTATGGTGTTTTTCCCAAGAGGGTTACAAATTTCAACAAACAGAGATTAGATTACATCAGGATTAAATATTGTGAAGTCTTGAAGTAGTTTGTATTGAAAAACATTTACTATGCAAAACGGCTGGCTACCTGGCTACCATAATATAATTATAATAAAACGCCTGGCTACCACCTGGCGACCAAAAAACAAGTAAACAGGTGGTAGCCAGCTATATTAATATGGTAGCCAGGTGGTGGCCAGGCGTTTTATTATTGATTTAATATGGTAGCCAGGGAGCCAGCCGTTTTGCATAGTAATAAGTTTAAATGAATTTTGTAATTTGTAAATACTTGGTGTTATCCAGGTACATGAAAATTGCCTTAATTTACTAAATTTACCTGGATAACGCCAAGTGATTACTAATTATAAAATTAATTTAAACTTATTACTATGCCAAACGGCTGGCTACCTGGCTACCATATAACGCCTGGCTACCCTATCAAAACAGCTGGCACCACCTGGCTACCAACACAAGTAGCCAGGTGGTAGCCAGCTGTTTTATTACGGTAGCCAGGTGGTAGTCAGGCGTTTTATTATAGTTTTATTATTGTAGCCATGTAGCCAGCTGTCTTGCATGAAAGTATGTTTAAGTAAATTTCTGCAATTTGTAAATACTTCACACTTGGCATAAAATGTTTCAAATTCGGCCACGATCAATGTTCGAATTTTTGCGGATGGCGCGCGTATTTTTTGGAGTCTGGAGACGCAATTAATTTTCGAAATGTGCGCTACTTTAAGACAGCTTCGGTGACATGAAGAGTATCCTTAGATAAATATGTAATTGGGAGATGAATAGCGTGTTATTTGGGGATCAGAATGGTACCAAAGTTGCCATGACTACCTTTATTGTTTTGCCGCTTTCGAGCATTCTATGAGCATGTTAATATTGATGAATTTCGGCTTCGAATAACTTTTGTTTTTAAGGCTATCCTTTTATAATATTTGGTAGGATTACATTTATGACCTTTATCTAAATTCCTACCGAACCACTTGATTCGATTTCCTAGTCTCTTTGATCGCAGTAAAAATCAATTCGAATAAGGCCACCAAATACAGCGTTTCGATGTCAACGCAAATAATATAACGTTGAGCGTCTGAGGTCGCGGTCAAAAGAAAGATGGAATTATCGGCCAAGAAACAGAAATTGAGGCGATTAGACGAAAAGGTATGTTTGGCATTTGTTTATTGTATTATTTGTACAAAATAATGGATAATATATTGCTATGTTTTGAAAGCCAGGCGACTTGTGTCGTTGCTATAATACCTATAGCTACAAGCCCTTTAATTAACTCTATATTTTCGAATTCGGAGGGTTTAAAACAAGCGAAATATGATTAAAATTACGAACAATAATGTGTTGTATATTATATTTCCACATTGACAGTTGTCACAGTAAGTAGATTCACTACACAATATATTATGACTATCAAAGATTTTGTGGTCCATGTTCCATAGGTAAATTCTACGGTTTGAGGGATTTGTAAGAAATCTTTGAGGGAACTGGCTCAGTGTTAAAAACATTTCAGCAAATAGCATGCAATTCTGATAACGTAAACTCTGTTTACTGATAAATGTGAAGCTTTTTTAACTTTGAAGTTAGAAAAATATTTTAAATATTGAAACCAACCTCTACTAAATTGCTTGCAAATTCAGGTAAACCACAGCTGGCAACATGGCCTAGGTGTTGTATTGGTCCACATACTTGATTTAGTTTCAGCAATCTACGAACTCATTGAGTCGCATTGCACCCTGATGC